GGTCGTACTTCGGAACATTGTTTCCACCGCTAAGGCGTGTCCTGAAGTTCCCACATTTTTTTCTGTAGTTTTTTTTGTGAAAAAAGCACAGGTCTGTTCTTAAAACGTACCTAGGTGATCATATCGCTCGAGATTATCAGCGCATTCCTCGACAGCTTTTCGTATCTCATTTTCCGTGCTCCCAAACGAGATCATGGCACACATGTTAGGGCACAGAACGCCCATCCATTTCACGCGAACAAATATCATGTCGAATCGTGACACATGCAGTAATCCCACCTGGAACATGAATGTACTTCAACCTTCTCGAATACTGTAGACTTACAAAAGCAGTTTTTATCCAGAGGAAGACAGTTGATGAACATAGTCCCCGGTACGCTTCTGTGAGCTTAATAACTTACCGTGTACCTCGCCATGATATTGAACGAAGTGTCGTCCATCTCGATGGGGAAGTCTGTGAACTGATAGCAAACCACCTGGTTACTCTTGGATCTCTGAAAGAATTTTTTGGGAGGAGGCATATCATTCATCTCAAGAATGCTGAGTTATGGGCAAGTCGGACCACGGACGGGTCCGACTTTTGCCCATAACTCAGCATTCTTGTGATAGCTTTCGGATCGCGCACTGCGGCGTTAAACAGCAGTTACTAAACAATAACATCATGCACCTGTTAGATGCAGGTAGGCTTGTCGGTGCGAATGCTGGGGCGTCAGGTATGCGGGGTCTGGCGCAGCGTCAGCCCATTTCCCACCGATTGGGACCGCTTTCCGTCTTCCACAACCGGTGGAGAACGGGTTGAAGCCACGCCAACTCAGCTCCCTTGACACGTCCCGGCATTTGCATCCAACAAGTCTGTATACCGTGTCAATGTCAATATGTCTGCCTACCTGTTTACGAATTATTCCCAACAATAAAAAATTTTACACAACGAAATGAAAGATCTACAGTCAATTGATTCAGTTTCAGATGACAGAAGTCGGGAACTATAATGCAGCTTCCACAGTCAGCGATTCCCGCAAAGTTTGTCGTTCCCGCGACGAGAAGGGGGGGGCGGAGGCGGAGCGATCTTGCGGCATGGTGCAGCTAGTTCGCTCATAATCCCATTTCGTCTATTCAACTCCTTTGTTTTATCTTCTTACTTCACAGCTTCCCAAAGCCAGTTCTGGTCATAAGTGGAGATAACGAACGCGCTTCGTCTTACATTAGTTGCGGGAAGGAGAAACGCTGCCTCACCACCACTTCTGCTCGTCTACGCCCTCTCAACAAGGCAATGACCCTCTCTCTTACCAGGCTTGATCTAAGGAGCACATAAGCGGATTCACGTAGAGTCCTTTTACTCTCGCCTTTGTATCCCTTTCACAAAAAGGCTAAAGACCATAACACACAAGACTAGTCACCTAGAGATAGTCCCACAAAGAAGGCATGGTCTCCATCAGAGCTAAGCCTTGATTAGAGAAAGGGACACGATGGCGCTAACGAGCACAGCGGAGCCACACAGTGTGCTCCCTCTAAACTCATCCTTAGTCAGAGAGGTATGACAGACGCTCTTTGAACTGTACGTAACTGAAACAAACCTCGTCCATGATTCGGCGTAGAAACGAGAGGGGGCGCAATTTGACAGCATAATACATTACAAACGACTATATTGCCATAACACAACTCCTTGCACACGAGGTAATGACTGCTGGTTTGCAACGCCACCGACAGGTCGATCCTCTTTCTTGTGCCTGAGAATTCTCATTTATGAATTATATGTGGTCTAAGCTAATCTCAGTGGGCACAAATATCCTTTTTTAATACCATTCTAAGCAAAACATGGTAAAGCAACATCTACAAAAATAATCCCAAGCTGCGTAAAAAGAACTCCACTGCCAATCAAAAGTTTGAAGAAACTTCTGCTGCGATGACTACGACAATCAGCACGTATGGAAATGACCGCCGCTATCAGGCGGTCCATAAACCCCTTCTAAGCGCTTTTATCGCTGATAATGTTCGATGGCGTTAATCATGTAGGCTGGCATCTTTGTGAAAAAAAAAACCCAGAACATACGAAACACCGCAAACATTTCGCTTGTTATAGAAAATAAGGCAAAACTTTTTCAAGCTACGGGTGGACCTTCCTGAGTAACCCACCCAAAGCCAACTGTTCTACCCAAGAGTAGGCGCAAGTCAATCCTGACTTTAACAATTCTGCACAGTCAGTACTACCTCACATAAAAACTGAGAGATACGTGAAAAACGCTGCCCACTAACTCCTCCATTTTGAAAAACTTGCGCAAATTGGAATACGTACCGACGAAACATGTCACCAAAGCCTACAATGTTCGACTAGCCAGGGCACGCGTTGTGGGAATCCCAATAGGGGCGTATTTGCCTCACTAAGGGCGGCATTTGGGGGGAAAAAGTTAATTGATAGTTGATGTTCTCGCTTAAGGAGCGTAAAAGGAGGGGGGCGACTGCATTTTTGAGAGGTCGTATTTACGTTTGGCGTTGTAGGGAGAGGTGGATTGACTTTGCGCCCAAATACGTTAGCGCCGTTGACTTTTCGTGATTTTCCTGTTTCATGGCTATTATACCCCCCCCCGCTCTCGACAGCCGACAGCAAAATTTTTGGTAAAAAGGAGGAAGCCAACTTCCAAAAAGAAGGGGGGGGGGGTCGTACAGACTCGAGTACAATCCCCAACCAATGATGTGTCCTGCTAGGGCCACGTCCAACTGTGAAGTGTGGTACAAAAAACGCTCGGGACGAAGTTCCTTGATAGCGAGTGAGCGAGCGAGCGAACAAAATTGTGATGCAAGGAACTAACAAGGAAAATTCTTTCATTCCAATAAGCGGCACATAGCCATCTCAAAAAAACCAAAAAATGGATTTGTAGCATCAGTAACACCTCGAACACTACAATTCCGCCTTCCATCCCCTAGAGATCTTTAATCATAACTTATGGATTGTGATTCATCTGAACGCAGTTTTCATCAGGGTTCGTGGAAAGTAGCTAGAGAACCGTGACAATAGCCAGTGCTCATAAGAAGGGCCTGATACATACCTATAACGTCGATGATTTGGTCGATCCATGTCGGCATGAAAAGCTGTTCAACAGCGAAATATGCCGTGAAAACGGCAAGAAGAATTTTATATCGGAACTCAAGTAATCCTAAAATTCCGAATGCAAACGATGCAGACGTATAAATTTGCATAGGTGTTCAAAGTAAATTTAAAGAAAGCTAGCGGTTAAAACAGTAAAATAGCACCTTCAATGTTACAGTGATACGAGTAATATACTAAAGAAAAGAAATCTTTATGTAGTCAAACGAATTAAATAAAAGAGATCAACAGCAATAAAGTAACAACGTATTTATTGGAAGTACAAACAGAATTATACGGGTGTCCGCAAAAAGGCGTCAACTGCACTGCCACACGAATCACACAAAACCCAACGCCTCAAAGCATGAGTAGTGACCGTCTCCGCTATCCTACCTTCCTCGTCCATGTCATCTGCTCGAAGTCCACATGACGCGTCGTTGATGTACCTCATCTCATCCCTAGCTCGCTAAATCAGAAGAAAATGGAATTAAATTAAGACGAAGTTTTCAAATAACTGATTAAACACCGAGAGCTACCGCCGCCTTCGAGAACCATTCGACGAGCGAGTCCGTGCCCCTTCCTGTGGGCGGGGTTCTTACTTTGCAACTAACCATAGAGGATATGACGATTTGGGAGACTCGACGATTCGGGAGATTGCGCGTCGGGCGATTTAGGAGGCTGGCTGTTTCAGGCGATTGTGCTCCACAGGATGAGAACCATCGGCGCCGGCGGCTAATCTGGCAAATTCGGCGATCCAGCGCCGGAGTTTTCCCAATTACCAACTCCCGAAGAACTGATGTTTTCTCTAGCTGACTATCTTCGGTGGCTGTGACGTCCGAGTCCAAGACCACAAAACCTGGGTTAATTCTTTTCTGCTCAACTGCTCGCCACATAACGGTGTGTGTTCCGTAGATGGACATACTTCATGCAACCATATTGGATCATCCCACTTTGTTGGAAGAGCTGGTGCGTGGAATGGGTACATGAACGCCATCGTCACTCCGAAATAGTTACCTTTAATAGGAATGAAAATACTACAGCATTATCCAATTAATGGAGCAGAGGAGATTTGCACGATTCAGTGATTCTTCATCTGTGCTCGGACGAAAATATTTGGCACTAACGCAGTTAGCGGAGGGAGAGGGGAGAGTACTCCCTCAAGGTTGGTGGAGACCATGTCTTCCCCGCGAGGCTATCCCTCGGCGACTCTGGTTCTCTGCGCTCTACCCCAGAGCCTTTTTGGAGAAAAAGTACAGAGTCGCGCCTGCGTGCCTCCCTGACCTACGTTACCGTCAAATACTGACGCCCTGCCCATAATCACTTCTCTTTATTGTCTTTCCATCTTTACTCTGCGGAACCTCTGGGTTGAGTGCACGACTTCGGCCCCTGCTTACTGAAACAGCGCTAACATTTTTCCACTTTGTTCAGCTACTTAGTTACTGGAACGCGATGGAAGTCGGTTTCTTGTGGTGCAGGAATCCAGTCAATTGGGGTCACCTCTCCCGCAGCTGTGCTCGAGTACAGTTCTGTGAATCATATTTTCAAGGCTAAGCCCCTCCCACTCCCCTCAATGTTGGGAGTGGCCGCTTGTGAACTTGGAGGCCACAAATGGGCACACCCAACACTCAAAGCACAGTGGTGGCAAACTTGGAGTGTCAATTCTTCTATGCGATTCCTTTACTTAGGCATGGGCAAAGGCTCTCATCGCCATTGCAGGAACCCCGTTTTCTCACAAGGAGTCCTCTAATCGCCCCTCCACCCCAAGGTTGTTTTCCTCCAAATTTCCTACTATTCACTCGAATTCAGGACACAATGATGGGATTGCTTGCTATAATAACCCCAAATCCGCAACATGTATTTGAGCTTCAGTCGTTATCACAGTATCATGGCACGGGTGTGGAGGCCGCCCACTTTCCATTGATCGTTGGGGCTTCGGTCGTTCAATGAGTGGTAGGAAAGGGGCGCCTAGACGCGCCGCTGACACGCCCCGACCGAATTTAGTGATAACGACTGTGAAGCGGTTACACGCCCTGCTATCTCCCCTAAAGTCATTAACGGTAGTCAAAATAAAGTTCAACGAAAAACGTTAGGAGTTCGCTACCACAGAGACTACTTATAAGATATTTATTCAAGGAAGAAATAGATACAAAATACAAAGTAGCAAAATATAAATACCTGTTACAATGTGGGCATCAATAAACACAACCGGAAAAAATAATCAACTAATGTGTTACTGTTCAACCGCTTTTCGCACCGGTAAACCAGCGTAACAGCATTAACACACTGAGCGCCTGGAACATATGATGCTATTCAGTTCCCACTTCACTTCTTATCCACGAAAGTACAGTCCTCATCATTACGTACCGTCGGGGCGGTACAGCCGCGCTGCACTGTGACGCGACAGAAGGGCTTGCGGCTCGGGCAACCCCAAAAACTGAGTGAATTCAGCTGCACTTTCGCCATTGGGATCGACTGGCAAATCCCTAACGTTTACAGCTTTCTTCCCCAAAAAAAAAAAAGAGGGGAGTGAGTTATCCTGACCAATTTCGAATTGTACTGACTCGGAATGTGTCTGAAAGAATGTAAGCCATTTGAACAAATGCCTGAATAAAGCAAGATACAAGGAAAAGAGCCATAATAATGACATTAAAAATAAAGGAAATCAGAGCCAGTACAATTCAAAATTGGTCAGAATAACTCACTTCCACTTCAGAAGCTTGAAGAGCTGAAAAAGTGGGAATTTGCAGCCGAATTCCATCGAAATCAGCTGATTCACCGTCACCGAGCCTCAGCCGCTGTCAGTGATCTACCGCCCCACAGTACGTAATGATAAAGACTTATGCTGGGCCTTGTTTCGTTTCGGTCTTCTTCTCGGTGCATTCCACCACCTCATTATTTTTTTATTTTTCCTTTCAATTTGGTGTTCTGCCTTCTTATAGTTACCGATCCTTACTTCTGCTTCGATGTGCCGTTGGCCGTCACGTCTTGATGTTTTGTGCGTCTTCGTTTGTTACGTGGGTTCATACCTGCGTCAGTAAATGAAAATAGAAATGGACCGCTTTTTTGTCTCCTAAAAAGCATCACGAGCGTGCCGTGGGGACGTTTCTCACCACTCAGCCACGCCACTTCGGGGTGCGTAAGGGCACATTCCGGGCTAATGCCGTTTGGACTCCAGCAACTTCGGCACCGAGCTCATTTTTAAATTGCCTAAGTTACCAAATCCGCTAAAAACTTGTATGTAGGGGTAGTTTAACATCCTGATTACGAATATGACATTCACTCTTGCCGCTGGCCGCTATGCCGTATGGACACTAGGCAATTATCTGTGCTCCGCTAAGGCTGAGCCCAAGAGGTAATCGTAGTGTCATCCCTTGGCGCCAGCGCCAAGAATGAGTGTCATAATTGTAATCAGGATGGTAAATAACCCTTGTGTACATATTTTCAGCGGGTTTGGCGACTTAGGTAATTTAAAAATGAGCTCGGTGCCGAAGTTGCTGGAGTCCAAACGGCATTAGCCCACATTCCGCATTGATTGCAAGGACGCACCAGGATGCAACATGGCACTATTCAACTATTACTACCACAGTTTTGCGAAAACAGGCCGGATCTTGATCGACTTTTTTCTACGGGGGCAAATTTGGCTGAAATCTGGGTTTTTGGGGTAGTTATGACCTCGCGAACACGAAATATTCACGCATCCATTTGGCCTCGGAAGTTGCGGCGCCATTAGCGTCCCCAGTGATTCAAAGCTAGCCCCGGATGTGATGCTCGTGTTCAGGAGGTCCCCATGGGCACAAGTTTTTAGAGGATTTAGTGACCTAGGGGACTTTGGCCCGGCGCCCAAGCGGATGTGATATTCGTAGTTCACGGCAGCGTGACAATTACCGAGAGCCAACTTTCAGCTAACTCTGGCCCCCGCTAGAACAAAACTTGCCCCCGTACTTATTCAGTGCGGTGTATCACGTCCAAGTCGATACACCTCCAAAACAAAGCAAGCATCCGGCCCGTCTTTTCGCGGAAAATTTGGAAGGCAGCGGTGGTAATAGTTGAACAGTGCCGCACCTACTAAGACACACATTCTTCTTTAGTGCCCTAGAAACGCCAGTCGCGATTGCTCACTGGGCGATGCCAGGAAACGACATCATTGACGGGTTTCCCATTCTTCCATGGTGGTGAAGAATGCGGAAAGGAAAGAACACCAATGACGTCAATTTCTAGCTGCGCGACAATCTCGAAGGGTACAAATGGTGACACGTACGAACAAGCAAGACGCTAATTGTTCTCTATCTCCGCCCACGCGGTTATCGTGGAATTGGCGTACTACTGAATCTTTCATAAGTCTGAAAATTACTATAACCAGTCCAGAAGTTCAAAAAAAAGTGTAGATATGGAAAGATTATCGGCCGTTAATATCGAATAACTGGATCACCGTTTTCAATATTGTCATGCCATGTTCTCACTGCAGTACGCGCCACCAACCTGGGGTCCTGAGAGATTCTACTTAATGCTAAACGAGTTTTTGAGCATTTTACAACGGAAAAACGAATATTTCCACAGCCCGCAAGTCAGAGTCACCAAGAAAGAGAGACGATTAGAAGTCGTCTGGAACACTTCAATGAGGGCGACAAATTCGAAAACTAGCGACTTCTTGAGGATCGATTCAATCAATAAATATTTTGTCGCTCACGTAGAGCTGTTCCTGACAATATACTCGTACATTTAAGTACAAGTAAAAGTAAATAAAGACTATCGAAAAAGGCCAAATAAATTCCCAGTTCTGGTTAGAAGATATAATCATGGGCAAAATACACAAGTGAGGTCTCGAATTGTTAAAAGAACCATCAACTAAAACTTCGCATTGAAATTCTAACATCTAGGAGGGCTGCTATTGATGGAAATAAATACATACAGGCGGCCGAAAGGTCTAAATCGCCACGAACTGCTCAAATTGGACGGGCCAATCCTGTAGGTTGAAGATGCCCGAAAAGGAAATCGCATACAAATACACGTATTCGAAGCCAATTCCCTTGGATCCCTCCATTCCAGTGGTCTCATGCCGGGTGGTGGACACTCGTTCTTCTGAAATTACTGACATTTGTTGGCATTTTTGCAAGCTAACTCTTTCAACCTTCTTTTATGGCTTATAGTTTTGAAGAGGAAGCCTGAAGGATGAAGCATTTGACATTGATGAGATCCTAGTTAGGATGCGCCATGCACCCAGATCTGTAGATGCTTTTTGGATGTGATTTTATATACAGCGGGGGTTGATATATAGATCGGAACTATTTATCCATGACAAACTCGGTACCAACAGACGGAGCACGGACCGTAGACTTGGTTAATCTGGAAGTATGCCAGAATTGAGATATGACCAAGCGCAGCGCTACTAGTCCACGCCCACTCTGACACCCCCTCAGTGCTGTCCTCATAGCTTTGAATAAATTGGTTATTAGCGTATTTACTAATTGTGAAGATTATCCTAAATATAATCCGCCAAGGATGTCTGCCTGTTTGTCTGTCTGTCTCTGTATGTCACGAAATTCATAGCGACGTCCCAGTTGCTGTAGGAAGCTGCTTCCATGCAGTGATATAAGAGCTGTGACAGGAACATTATTGGTGGGTGACAGGGAGTGATACCAGCTGATAAGATCTGATAAGAGGCGTCAGAAAGGTGAGGGTCACCGAGCCATAGTGCGGGACACAGCAACAGTGGGACGTTGGTTCCAAGGTATGATATAGGGTGTGGGACAGGAACATTATTGATGGGTGACAGGGAGTGATATCAGCTGATAAGATTTGATAAGGGGAGTTAGAATGGTAAGGTCACCATACTCATAACGCGG